ACGTGTGACCACGAGGATCTGAGTGAGACATGGCGGATATGGCTGGCGTGAATCGTTACGTGAACAAGCGGAGATTTACCTCAAATCACTTATGAGCCCTTCCTCTAGCGCCAAACTGCTGTTATGTGATTTCTAACAACGATGTAACACGTAATTAAGATGAGAATTATGAATGATTTGGATGTAAAGCATGTAAAGTAACTTCAACGATGGCCCCGGTCCGAGGTAAACCGAGGTGAAGAGCCGTGATGGGCTTTTACGTGTTGCTTAATGAAGTTTTTTCAGTTCGGAGAGAAAATCCCCGTACAAATGTCATGAGTTCACTATTTATAGTAAGCTTTGGTAGATACATTGGGATCCGTGTACTACTTTTCGAATAAAGTAGCTTTTTGTGGGCGGTTTGGAGCAGTGGGTCCCACAGAAATGATGACGGATCTTGTGGAGTGGGATGGTTGTGCGTAGGCACCCCGTCACCTGCTTAAGGAGGTGACGATCTCGGTCTATGTTGATCTCGGTAGATGCTGACCGACCTCGGTCTTCGGTAATTCGGTGTGGTTCATCGCCTGGACCGGGGTGGTGTTAAAATCACGTCGGTTCAGTGGTCATTTTCCTCTTAATGTGATGTTTGGAATCTCTTAATGTAGTTTTACCGAATCGGATGATAACAAGTAAGCAAAGAAACGAACTCTTCGTAGAAGTCGTATACGAATAACTTTTATCCGGGATGTGACAGGCAGGGTAGCGGAATGTCTTTTCTCTGATGGCATTTTCAAGAAGCCTTGCCATTCATCTTGTCTTCCCTTCTTCCATCTGATAGGGCGGCTTTTCGACAAAATGACAGCTGCGTTGGACAATTGTTGAAGATTGGTACGCAACTTCGAAGAGGTGGAATGTAACTAGACACGTGTTTAAACAAGGGTTGGTTTCCATGCACAAAGACAGTGAGGTTTGCTTTGCTATTCAGAACACTGCTGGATAGACTGAATAAGTATATTAGACTTCGCACTCCCTCCCCTTCTGAATGTTGATACCCTGGAAAAAAGTGATTGAGGATCCGCTCTCATTCGTTAGAACAAGTCCTGATGGACGGGCATGCCATATCAAATTAAAGGTCTAGACAAAAAATCTAGACCTTTAAATGTACTCGAAACAAGGACTCTGGCATCTCCGGTGCCTCAGCGCAGAAGGAAGGAGAGTGGTGCCGCGTTGATTCCTGGTTAGTTGTTATATCTTATGAGGTTACTTGTTATATACGACAATAGAAGAACGTTCAGTTCAATCAAAATGAAAAGAGTTTGACTAAAAGAAAATAGAGCTAAATATATATTCTTTTAAAATATATATATAATGGTCAAGTCAAATTGAATTAACCCGATCGAGTCAAAGTCGAGTCGAATAGGGGTCTGAATGACCCACCAAGACCTCTATCGATGTTAAATGAGTCAAAGTCCAGGTTAAAATAAAATATGATAATAGCAACAAGGGAGCCTAACATGTAAGGATAGAATATAGATCTACATGGGTTACTCCGAAGTAAACATGTGTAATATACATAAATGAATATTAAAAAAATATATAAATCATTCTTACAAACTTAAATTATTATCTATGTATAAAATGACACTTATCACTTGATAACTTTTTTGAGTCATATTATGTAATTAATTTATTAAATAGATATAACTGAAATGATAAATAAATATATTATTTTTCAATTAAAATGGATATACAATTTATTTTTTATTATAAAGGTAAATATATATATATATTTATTTATTTAAATGTAATATGGATATCAAACATTCAAACTGAAGCTCGTTATTGAACGATTATTTTGATTTTTGTATGCATGAAAATTAATAACAAATACGAAAACTGTTAACTATTAAAATATATTTTGTTAAAAAGTTCAAGTGTTTTAGAATTTTAAAAGTTATAATATGTATGGATGGAAGTCCAAATCTACTTGTACTAGTATACTACTCCAAACCAAACACATATGATTTGAAGCACCACAAAACATAGAATTACAAACCATCGGAAATCGTCGTGTAGAATAGATGCATTCTACATTAATTAATAAATAAACAGGAGGATATGTAATATGAATGTCAAACAGAATATAAATTCAGAGAAAAATAAAAAAATAAAATAAAATTGCGTAATTATATGCCGATGGTACATAAAATAAAAAATAAACTTCTTATTCACTAACAAAGACCCCAAAAGAAAAAAATAAAAAAAAAAGGTAAAAACATCTCATCAGTTCCGACTTGTTTCCACCTGGACGTCGTCGTTTTTGTTATAGTCCTCGTTTTCCCCCGACATTTCCTCGAGCGACTTCCCCTTAGATTCCGGCACCAAAAAGGTGAACAAAAGCCCCAACAGATTCACAACACCCAACAATATCAACGAGTTCTTCACCCCGATTCCAGCCGGGTAACCCGCATCCGTCTTCGCCGGGTCCGGATTCTGCGCCAGGTACAAAAACCCGAAAGCCCCGACTATCGCCCCGAGCTTCCCCGCCGCCGCCGATATCCCGTGACACGTCGACCGGAGCCTCGCCGGAAATATCTCTGCTGGCACCACAAAAGTCGTCGCGTTCGGCCCGAAATTCGCAAAGAAAAACGTCAACGAGTACATCACAACAAACCCGATCCGATTATCGGGCTTCGTCCAATGATTATACGGAAACGCCAACGCGAACATGAAAACCGTCATGAAGAAAAACCCGATCAGCTGTATCGCGAACCGGCCGATCACATCTATCAAAGCCACCGTGAACCAATATCCCGGGACCGTACTGCAGAGCGCGATCAACGTCTGAGCCCGAGCGATCGTGAACACCTCCCGAACCGCACTCATCGTGCTCGCGCTCGGAATCCACCCGATCGCGCTGAATATATCCTTCTGAAATAGATTCTGGCTGTAGAAAGCAATGTCGAGCAAGAACCATGTGCTCGTCGTCCCGAGCAAGTGAAGCCCGTGCCTCGCGAGGAACTCCCGGGAAAAGAGCCCGTAACCCGGTTTCTTCTCTTCGACTTTCACCGGCTCGGCCTCGATATCCATGTTGAGCACCTTCGACATGTCGGACGCCGCTTGTTTGGCGTTCTTCGCCACGAGTGCCGTGTAACGAGCGGTCTCGGGCATTTTCATCCTCGAGTAGAACGTGGCCAGCGCCGGGATGGCGCCGAACATTAGAATGATCCTCCAAAGGTAGTCGGCTTCCGGAGGGGTCGATC